CTTTGTTTTAAAAGACGCTATACCACGGGAAAAATCTTTCAAGGCTAATTCTCTTTCACCTCTGTTAGTAATTTAAAAACCTAAGCTCAGAAAAAGTGAGCTCAGATATAGATAAGATCAGCTCAGATATAGACAGATAGCTCAGATAAGCTATGAAGTTTCATACTCTAAAAGAAGGTTTGTTCGAAATATCGAAATGCAAAGCAATTTTAGAGAAGATTATTCATAGTTTGTCTATATAAAGAACTCCCCTAACCATTCGCCTGGAATAGTGACGGGACTATGGTTACGAGGTTTAAGTATTTCAAGTTGGGTCATTATTTAATACAGGTTTTGGTTCCGTTCGGAGAGAGAATAGGAATCAGGGGAGAAAGAAACTTCCCTCTTTGAAATGCGCTATTTCTTGTTCCCATAGCAGCCGGCAGCCTCAGACATCGTGGCTAGGAGAGTTCTTTCAATAGACAAACTATAGGATTGTGTTGAGGGAAAGTTTACCTCTCATATTTTATTATCATTTCGAATATATTTTTTCAACATTTAAAACTTCGTGGTTTACTCTAGGCGTGTCAGAATTCATTTTTCTCTGAACTTAAAATTTTAATACATAAATGAAAATGAAACAGAAGTTGCAATGAAAAGTTTCTCCCGCGGTATAGCGTCCTCCTAACACTGCGTCGATTTCCTTTGAATCGCGATAACACTGTGGTTAAGGCACTAAGCTGCCTTTGGGAAGAACTGAGGCTCAACCCCCTGTAGTGACTGGAACTCAATCCAGTTTCAGATCGAAAGATACCAGCTTGCTAGGAAGGCAATTATGACTTCATTACCGCTATTATGACGTTCGTCTCGAAAAAGTGAAGCCTTAAACTCCATGGCCAACAGCTGGCTGTAAAAGGAAAATTTTACTTTTTTTTCCTTCTTTGCCATTTACGTAACAACAATTACGTTACTGTGTTGACTTATGTATTCTACATTCTTTACATTAAATCTATTCTTTGTAGTGAATCATACTCATTGAGGCAGCATAAAATCTAGTATTGATGTTATTATAGAAAACTGATTATAACTCATCTAATTATTTTAGAAATAAACTAATGGAGTTTCCAAGAAAGATTTAAAAAAACATTTAACGGAACAAAATAAAACAGTCACAAACATAGGAAAATCTAGTTCATTTCTTCATTAAACATATTTTTTCAATAATAAAAAACTTTTTTGGTGTTAATCTATTTACCAATTAATTGATGAATGTTTTGTTCATTTTACTAGCAAAACATGTGTCATAATCGAAGACCTCTTGGCTCAAAGTCAGAAAAAAGCGAGACCTTTTTTTTTAAATCTTAAAGTTACTGCGAAGTCAGTAATTCTTCGGTAAGGAACTTTTTTTTTCATTATTGATGACGGTATTTTTTCCCCAGAAAAAACTGCAAGTAAAATGAAATTTCCTCCAATAGTTGTGAACTATATTGATAAAACCCCGCCGATATATTGATGCTTTGAAAGCCCCAAAAATCTCTCACCATTTTTAAAGAAGTTCAAGAAATATTCAAAATGAATAAAATATGAGGGAGACAAAGCTACCAATCGATTTTAAGTTTTATGAAAAAAAACTTTTGACTCTAGTTTTCCAATTTGTATTGAATTCCTATTTGTTGTTCACAAACGTATTTATGATCTGTTTATCTATAATGATTGATTTAAAAGTGTTGTTTTGAAGTTAAAAATTCGAGTTTAACTCACATTTTTTTTTCTAGTTGACACCTAGTTTAGTTGATGGCTAACTTTTAAAGTTTTTTTCTTCAGAAAACAATTTTTCTGTATTAGAATCGAAACGATATTAGTACGGATTCTTTTCGACGATCTTATTCCATTATAAAATAACTGAAAATATTTAAAAAAAATTTAAGCATAATATTTGCAGCATTATAGTTATTAATCATTTTGTTAGGTAGTCTTAAGTAATAATTCAAGTAGTGTTGAATATTTAGTTATATGTAAAGTATTTAGAAAAATTTTGTTTTTTTTATCGAAACAAATACTTAGCCACGAAGTAATTTATTAGATTTATTTTTTATCCTTTCTAAAATGGCTGTACAAATTTTAAACTTAAACGGTGCTCCAAATTCCAATCAAATTAAATAAAACCAACGCCAAAAATATGCGAAATCTAATAAACTATTAAATAAATGACATACAATCAAGGGCTAAAGCTTAACTTTTGTAATCTGAGAAAAGAATTCATAGAACACAAAAACTGAGCTTTTGTGCACAGGTACAAAAACACTAAACAGTGTGACGATGATTTTACAATGAAGAGACAACAGTGTGACAATGAAGAGGCCAAATTTGTCTTAAATCTGAGACTTATTACGGGCTTTTTAAAAAAACAATGAAGTTCTCAATATTTTGAACAAATATTAACCGGTTAACGCCCAGCGTCATATATATAGGACAGTTCCATTTTTCAAAGACATTCATTGTGGTGGGAAACTTTTTTCAGCATTTTCATTTATCTGGGTGAATTAAAAGATTCTCAGATACCACAATGATTTAGTTATTTCTGATTAGATCTAGAATTATAAGGAGAAAGTACTTTTTGATCTATCAAAGACTTTTTGAATGCCCTAACAGTTAAAAAACCAATTAATTTCGATAATATATTAAACCACCTTTTCCATAAAACCACTTCTTGTATCATTTCCATATATAAATTCGGGACAAAACAGGTTAATCAGGTGATCTATCTTTCATGCTTTGGACACCGAAAAGGAAATCACTCTCAATTATAATCTGGAATGCAAGTGGAATTTAAAAAAAAAAGAAAAAGAGCATGAAGCATTGAAGTGACGGAAATTACAGACGAGGAGTTACTCTACTTGCCAAAAACAGCCTGTGTACATCCTAGTATAACAAATCTAATGATAACGAATACGAACAAATTTCAACTTTACTCAACCTTTTTCATTCCGAATACTTAATGCTGTTCGAACTTACATAAGCACTAAATCATTTAAAATACTGCGGAAACTAATAATTGATGACACGGAGTACCTAGCCTATAAGGCCACCACCGTAAATGGCGAATTAAATATTGAATCAAAGGCATATGTTATTAAATTAGTTAGATTAATAGTTAGTAATTAATTAAAATGAAGGAAATGAGAACACCCAGATCGAGGACAGCACAAACAGCTGACAAAAAAAATGGTAAATTAGCGGGTTAGGGAATTAATAGAATAATTTTTTTTATTATTATTTAAATAATTACTAATAAAATCAACTTATTGGTTGATACCGCCAGAAATCAAACTTCTTATTAACACGTTGAAAACCATGAGGTTCACCGGTGAAGCCAACATTATTAGAAACACATAATTCGTAATAAGTAAATTTAACATAATAAGTAAATTTTTATATTATTATCGTTACTAAAATGGTTTGAAGAAATAAATGCAGTATAGAACACACAAAAATAGTTTTATTCTTATACACAAAGATGCCAACTTGCTCTCCGGACAGCGAATAAATATTTTCAAGCGGTAGCTTATCAATTGTGATTCTCGGTTTAATAAATTCAATTTAGTAGATTTTTATCCACCACTATTTATAAAAAATTCTTTTCAGATATGTCATGCTAAACTTTTTAAAAAACTAGCAAAATCTGTCAAATTTGCAAATATAGTTTGCAGTTACTTACCGTTTGGCCAGACAGGCAAGCCATGTAAAATTAGCATGGCATTCAACGTGTTAAAGAAGGAAATCGATGCATTCACGTGATCCTGAATACAAAACAGAAATGTTCATTCTGAACGAGCAAATCTACAAAAGGTCCTGGATTACCTAGATTAATGAGTAACTTCACTCTTTTCCCCACGACTATTCCGCTCCTCGCCAATCACACCGGTAAACAGTCGCCATATTGGTGACTGTATTGAACAGCGTAGTATCATTGAGCCAGATCTGTTATTTCGATTTTTTTTTAAAAAGCTTTGTTTCATATTTTTAATCTAATAATGTCCTGTCATTGCTCATTTGGGTGTTCTAATAAGTCAAATGTAAGCTTTAAATTGTATCTTTTACCTGTTGGTGATCGCAATAAAAAACGACGGAAGTATATCTGCGTAGAATTGACAGAGATGAATAGAATCCAAGCGAAAACAGCAGATTACGTGGGGTAAGTTTGAAATGAATTAATTAATGATTTTGTTTATCAATTATGTAGAGCAAATATGTTTCACTTTCACTTGAAAGAAATGAAAATAAATGACAAATATTGTTTTCGATTTAAATAATTTTTTCTTTAGAAATCTTTAAAAATAGATTTTAATAGCATTTAAATATATTAATGTTTTTGTTACCAGTAAACTGGAGTAACATTTTTTTTTGTAATGTCAAGAATTATTTATTAAAATAAAATATTTATCACATAATATTATAAATACTCAACTAATATACCTCAATCGTTGTTAAATTCGTTGTAAAATCGTTGTAAATATTAAATAGCTTTAACTCTTATTTTTGTAATACCGATAAGATAATGATAAGATGATATAAGTAACTAAAAACAAAATAATAGCATTTAGAAAAAATTTAAAATTCGTCCAAAAATATTAATGCTGTCTGAATTATTGGTTTTATTTTTATAACTTGTTTTATATTAAAATTCATAAACAAATTTTTATTTAATTTAGTATTTTAAAAATTTGAATAGCAATACCGTACATCTTCTCTTTAAACTGTTAATATCGTTACTTGAAGGAGAAGATGATAACTTTTGGAATAAATATTTCTTCTACATAAATGAAAATAATAGAAAGATCGGATGCAAATTTAATGCAGGTTTAGGTTTCTATATAAATAATGCACAAAAGAACAGATTATTAAAGATAAAAAAAAATTAAGCGATATGTTTAAAAAAAATATTTGTAGACATCTTGACATTTATCTTGTATAAAAGATAAGTTTGATAAGTTTTCAAGAAGAAGTTACTTATCAACTAATTTGTCATGCAATTCTGTTGTTGTTATCGATTCAAATAAGCATTGTTAAGGTCAGGGAAATAAAGTGTCTCCTTAAAACAAAAGCGATGTATTTTTTCTTCATAATAATCATAGCATTTGTATGCATAGCATTTGTACGTAAAGTTCGGGCAAAGAAAAATTGTTCACAAACTGAAATAGATGGAAAAAATATACTTATGTGGTCAAGTGATAGTAAAAAAAATAAGGAAATGTCAAAAAGTTTTAAAAATTCAACGAATTTCAAGGAAATTATTGGACAAGTGTTTAATATCACATGGGAAATGATTGTAACTTTCAAATCTTCAAGGGACAGCAACCGCGCTCCTTGTTGGACATTATGTTTGAAAAAGAATCAGAGTAATTGCAATGTAGCAGTGACCATCAAGCTTATTTCAAGGAACAGAGTAAAAAGTTATTATTTAACTTATGACACCAAGGAAGATTCTAAATTTATTCTTAACCAGAATACCTTAGAATTGGATGATTACAATTTGGAGTTGTTCTTCATTTTCAAGAGCACCTCAACGCCTGAAAAAAATCTAGCAAAAATATTTCCCATTGTTAAACTGCAAAACTTATCCACCAGTTTTCAAGCTATGCTTGAAAAAGAATACATGACCGACGTCGTCTTGAAATGTGATTCTTTTACTTTGAAAGCTCACAAAAGTATTCTAAGTATCCAATCTCCAGTTTTTGAAGCCATGTTCACAAGTCCCATACTTAAGAATAAACAGGATACAGCTGTTGTTGAAGATGTGGATCCATCCGTTTTGCAAGCCATGGTCAGTTTCATGTATTCCGGTCAAGTGAAAGTAGGGTCCGAATCTATTATTTACGATCTTCTGCACGCGGCAGAAAAATATCGAATCGATGCTTTGAAGGAAGGGTGTATTGAGTACTTGCAGCACATTTTATCTCCTGAAAATGCCGTCAAAATTCTCGAAGTGTCTAATGTGTTTGACCAACAACTGAAGTCTCATTGTTTGGATTACATTAAAAATGAATTTAAAAGTGTGAAATCTACAAAAGATTGGAAAGATCTTAAACAGAAAAATCGCATTTTGGCATTAGAGGTATATTCTTTTTGTGAAAGTGACTAAACATGCATACTTATTTTATAAAAAAAAAAATTTAAAAATAGGTAAATAGGTAACATTTTGTTTTATCATGACAACTTATTCAATTAAACTGTATAGTAAATATTTTTGATTTTATTTTGTATTTTAAATAATTTTTGTAGTCTTATTATGATCGGAAAAATTTTATAGTAAAAGGAAAAATATTTCTATGTAGTTAAACAATAAAATGCTTTGTTTTTAAATGTATCCTGACCAATACTATTTAAAAATATTGTAGTTGATAGGTTATTTTTTTTTTATCATGGCTTATAAAAAACTCATTTTTAAAATTGGCGTTTCATTTCTAATATTCCTTTCTTGATTCTTTCATCTTTTATTGAAGTAATCGCAACTAGGCCTTTTTATATGAACAGTGAGCCGAAATGTGCTACATTTTTAGTTACGAAATCAGATACAAAAAAGTACTTTCTCTGAATAAACATGCCTTTTTTTTGTTGAAGGATTCGGATTTTTGCCACCCAAAATATAGTATAATTTTTTTGACCATCATGCTTTTGAATTCTGCTGAAAGAATCTTATATTTTCAGGAAAAATATCTTAACGCAAAATTTTATTTTAAAAAAAAGCTTAGAAAACTTCAAAATGAATTAAAACAATGAATTATTGACAACAATCAAATCAGTAAACAATAAAGAATTCGATGCTATTTTGCATAAATGGCATATTCAAAAAAGAGGCGAAGGAGTAACGCTATATGTGTGTAAATTATTTCTCAAAATAATAATAATAATCTTTATACTCATTTGACAAAACGAAATTTATTAAGTTTCATAAATATTATATAGCACTATGATTGGGGGACTCAATTCTTAGAGTTAATTGATAATGGCAGAATAAAAAAAAAGATGGTACATCTGTAATGCGTATATTTTGATTATTCAAATTAGATATGGTCCCAATTTTTTTTGCATAATTGAGGTTTTACTGTTCTTGTATATTTAAGAACTGTCAATTTTTTAAAAATATGTTCGGAAAAAAATATAGTACTGGTAACACAAATATCTCGTTTTTTACTTTATTTTGGAAAAAAAAACTATTAGTGACTATTATTACATACTAACAGTTAAAACACATACAAGGGTGTAGGCAATTTATCTTTTAGCTGCGAATGTTTTGGAATGGCAAGTTTCTTTCCGCAATTTGAAAGATCATGATTGAAGCTTTTTAAAATAATGTTTTATTTACCCATGCAAAATTTAGATTGACCGAAATTAAGAGAGAAATTTAATAACCTCTTTTTAGCTTTAATAATAAAAACTTTAATATTAAAAACTTTGAAATTCAGTCTGAAGGATTGCAATATTTATTTTAGAATGCTCTTTTAATTATAGTGGTATTGAAAAAAGAAATAAGCTTTTATCTTACGCTTATTTTAGTGGATGCAAATTTTGCACGGGTATAAGAACCCTTTTTCTAAAAGCTTCAAGCATGTTTTGCCATGTAAAATCTTCCAAAACATTTGCTGATAAATGAAATATTGCTTACATAGAGAATGTATTGAATACAATGTTTATTGATGTTATGTTTAATGAATGTTGTTTACATAGAGATGATATAAGAAATGTTGTTGACGTATTGTTATCGAATTGTTTTCACATTTTTGTCCAATCCCAGTAGATTTACGTGTTAAAATTCACAATCATTTAAACATAATTATAACTATTAATAATAGTAATTATAGAAAGTTTACCTCTTCTAAAAAATAAAAATTAGATAAAATGAAATGCACTTAACCATAACTTACTGTGCTAGCTGGTACAATAACTGGACCATTCTGGTCCACTTATTGTACCAGTGGTAAGCAAAAAATTAATACCAATATTTTACCTTTTTTCGGAAGTTTGCAGCTCTAGTGTGTTTTTATACTTTTTGTAAGCTGCGTCTCAAAGCTGCTCGAATTTTCCACTCTCCACATTTTTAACCTCTCCGCTACCATGGTTTCTGCAAACCTTGCTTTTTCCTCCTCGTAAATATATTCCAACTTAAGTGAATAACTCCAGCAAACTGAAGCGGAAAGATACTACTCGAACTTAAACTTCATTTGATTAAAAAGGTATGAAAAAGGAAAAAGTCGACAGGTTTCGGGCGCTCAAAATAGGAGCTCATTCTCGAGATTTTCAAGACGTGAGTGAAGAAAACTAAGGAGTTTTGAGACAGGAAATGCTAGGTTATCAACGAAAAAAGAGAAAATAAATAAAGGTAGAGAAAAAAACGTAGTAACCGAAGAAGGCAAATCAGGGCAGATTACATTTACACTCGCTATGCAGAGTTGGGGAGAAAACTTATGTCGTTGACAAGTAAATCAGCATTATTATGAATGAAACAAGCTTCCATAGCATCAAGATAATCTGATGTCAGCAACATGGGAGTAAAGAATTTTGGCATCTAAATTGAATTTATTTCCAAAACTCCAACAATGTCCCGGCTGATTTATCGAATTTTTGATGACGAACATATCTATCGTGTTCCTTTAATATCAATTTAATGTGCGTCAGGTTTGTCCACTGCAGTCATAGTCGCTATGGCACAATATGTGGCCTACTACGACATTTTTATTTCATTATAAATGAATTTCATTTAACATTATAAATTAATTAATAGTTGAATAATTAACAATTGATTATATAATTGGTGATTTCCTTAGTTTAGTTTTATTTCCAAGTCAGTTTGAGAATTCTTAGGTCATTATATATTGTTTTTATGAGTAAATGTTTTATGTTGTCAGCAAAAAAATGTTTCTCTTTAGAACGGAAAAGTCAAAAAATATAATTTTACAAGCTTTAAAAAAATATATAAGAAATTATTTTATCTGCTCACATTTGGTAATAAGATAAAATATTAATTGTTATACATCATACATATTAATTGTTTATACATCATATAATTGTTTATACAATTGTTTATACACACATGCGAGACAAAACTGTCAAATTGCCCATGACGCAAATATATGTAAAATCCAAATTAATATTTTTATTAAAAATATTTATTGCAAGCACAAAAAATTTTTCATTATATTCATCATTAACTTACTAGAATTACACTAAAAAAGGTTATTTATTTAAATATATTAAATGTATTTAAATTTTTTTGTTTTTATTTCAAGTAATTATTTAAACACTTTCAAAAAATTGATAAGCTGAAGCTCTAATAACTCATACATAAGCCAGGAGATTATCAGTAGCACGTGAAATTTATGGAAACTAACTCACTAGACTTACAAAAAATTCTTTTCAATGCACAACACTTTTGGCAACAAATTGCAACAGCACACCTATCAATAACACTGTCATAAAAGTCATTGCTTTCGCAACAAAAAAATGTAGCACTTTTATTTATATCCACTATAACAATTCCCAGAGAAAAAATATATTGAAAATAACACACTCGAAATAAAGAAGGAATGCCAAATTTGTTCAAATGGAAAAGAAATATTCATTTTGCGTCTTATTTCGACGCCTCTTCGGCAACTCAAATTTGTAATAAAAAAAAGGACGTCAAAAAAACAAAATTATATCACGTCCACTTGAATATTCAACCGCATATATCATGGACGCCAATTCAGCGCCAAGTTTAGAATCACTAACTGCTGAAACAGAACTACAGAATAAAACGTGCATATCGATATATGCGCAGGAATATTAATGGTTACAGCTGGGAGTTTTACAGTATAAAAATGGCGAGATTCTGTTGCACAGATTTGTTTCAAATTTACGGAAGCGTTAAAAAATGGCGGGAAAAAAAATATCGTCTGATTTATTGATGCGATAGATAGGAAATTTCTTTTGAACTTATTCTGAAAATGGATTACGTGAAAAAGTTTGCAATACCTGAGCTATTTTATTGTGTTGCTTTTTCTTACCGAAGATGAGGCAAAAGCGATGTTGCTTTATTCTCTTTTTCCCATAAATTTTATTGAATAAATTTCGCGTGTCTAAGAAATATATCATGCTAGGGAAGTATATAAATTTAGATATTTCTCCTCATTTTTCAAAGGGAAAATAGTTTCAAAACTTATTTTTATGTGTTGTTTTATAATCGTGTAAACAATTTTGGAGTTAAAGATAAATTTAACCCACTTCTGCCCACCGCATTTTCAAAAGGTTGGTTCCTTTTTTTTTTCAAAATTTAAATAGGTAGCACATGCATTTCACTATTAGGTTCTGTTTGAAAATTTTGAGAAGGCCGACCAGGTGGCCGTGTGGTTAGCGTGTCTGACTGCGGAGCCATTGGCCGCGGGTTCGAATCCTGCACAGGGCATGGATGTTTCTTTCTCTCTCTGTGTTCTATGTCCTTTGCCTCTTTGCGTGAATGTGACCCACCCTATAAACGGGTTTGTGGTTGTGTGACGTGGGCGACGCTGCTCCACCGCGCAGCTTCGCCACAGGTGCCCACTGGGTAACGAGAAGAGAGTAGCAGTTCTGTGGCCAATGGGACAAACCCCAAGTGCCCACCATTAAAAAAAATTTTTTTTTGCGAATAATTTTTGGTTCAATTAAACTAAATAATGCACAGTGGAGAATAGGAAGCAATAGTTTTTTTTCCCGATGCCTACCTGGGGAATGACCTTTCGTCAATACAGGCATCTGAAGGACAGATTTGTTGGCCACTCTTTCATTAGCACCATATTAGGTGGACCAACGTTGCTCCCACAGTAAGGACAGATAGTACAGAGAACGAAAGAATATCCATGTCTTGTACGGGATTTGAACCCAGAACCTTTCTGATGCAAGGTCAGTTCCCTGACCCTTACACAGTCCGGTCGGCTAAGAATCAATAGTGAACTTGACCATTTAATCAGAAGGAAAAAAATCGATTTATTAAATCCAGAAGTTTGGCACGGTAGGGACACATTGAAAGATCAAAGGATAATAGAAATCTAAGAAAACTTAAAAAATGGAAACGTTTGAGCTTGAAACCAAGAGGAAAATCAAAAAAGTGATGGCTGGACCACCAAAGATCTAACCACCTTGAAGCTAAAAAACTGGAAGTTGGAAGCCACAAATGGACAAGTTTGGAACAAAATTGCTCGGCAGGCCAAGACTCCCAGTGGGCCTTAATACT